AAGAATGGCCAGACTTCGTCTCACCTATTTTGGTCATGTTGTCAGAAGGGACCATTCCCTGGAGAAGGATGTCATGCTTGGTAGGGTGGAGGGTCAATGAAAGAGGCGGAGGCCTTCAACGAGATGGATTGACACAGTGGCTCAAGTATAGCAGGGATTGTGGGGCTGGTTGCGGGATCGGGCAGTGTTTCATTCTGCTGTGCATGGGGTCGCTATGAGTCGGAAATGACTCCATGGCACTTAACAACAACAACAACACAGTTGGGACAGACAGTATTATCATATGCTATCAGCCTTTAATCACTCTAGTGAATTTCTTCTCCCACCTGCACAGTGCTAAAGGCACTTTAGTGTTGCAACTAACTTTTAGCAGCAAGGAGTTAAGTGAAAAACAAGATAAAACATACTCTTCTGCCTGGATGGAGTCAACTGGGGCCACATAATTGCTGGGAATGTAGCCTGTCTCTCCAGTTGTCAAGGAGCGGGCTTCCCACCAGTCTCCTTCCCTGTGGAGAAAGGAAGAGAAATGAGTAAGTTGACTGTTTTAGTGTCCTGCAGTCTCAGATTCAATGCTCTAGGTAGAAGGCTATCTCCTGTCATTCTACCAGCTGACTTCACCAGCCTCACTCTTTTTTTTTTCAGTCAACATAACTCCCAGTAGAGGTCAGATGGTTTTCAATCTGAACTGAACCCAGCTTTGTCTCTTAGCTGATCTGTGAATTAAGATTGCAGGACGCTGGCCATAGAGGGTACTCTTTGGACAGGGGCATGTTTTGCTTGTAAAGTATCTCTAACTTGGACTAAGGGGAAGGAAACCCAGTCTCAGCCTACTTAAGTAAAACATTATGCATACTGATCAACCAAGAAAGGAAGCCTATTAGGAGGCCCAGTAAGGGACAAAAGTATGGTTAATGTACTTGACTGATGACTGGAAAGGACGAAGAGTCAAGTCCACTCACAGGTGCCTCAGAAAAGAGGCCTGGAGATGTACTCTGAAAAATCAGCCTTTCAAATCTACTCCAACACACAGGGGGTCAACCTGACTCAGAATTGACTCAACAGCAAGTGGTAAAAAACACCCTTCTGCAGGTAGAGTGATAGAGACTATGCTGGCTTAAGCCTTCCTTAGACATTATGGTACTGAGGTGAGTCTGGATGGTGGGAGAGCAAGAATGGGTGTAGCTGTGTGTGTACAGGTACAGGGGAAGAAGAAAACTCACGATGGGAGTAAGATTTTTAGTTACACCTCACTTTGTATTGACCAATGTTCTATGTAATAGTATGGTTGCAATCTGTGTGGCTCCCTGTGCTGTATATGGAAGAACATGAAACAAGGCTTTTAACAGTACTCTCAAATTGAAACAAATTATTAAATTAAATGGTTAAAGTTCATATGCTTTGATTCACTGTTTCATGCATGACAAAGAGCAGGAATACAGTGTGTGCTGCTTCTTATGAACAACAGATGCACCTAGGTCTGTAACTCTGGTATCTCCTGAGCAACCACAGATCCCGCCCCCAGCCTGGGGTCAGGAGTGGGAGGGGCAAGGGAGGGCAGAGTTGTTTTTGAGCCAATCAGAGATGGCACAGGCTTCTGGAGTGCTAAAGCTGAAATGAAGCACCTGACACCAGAGGCCCAGCTCTCTCCCTCCGTTTTTGGTCCTTAGAGGCAGCAAAAGAAACCAAAGGCCTTCTTCTTCTTCTTCTTCTTCTTTTCTTTTCAAATAACTTTCTGGCTGGACTCTGTGTCAAAGCTCTCAGCCCGGGAAGAAAATGTGTTGGCTTCTGGCCCTGGTAAATATCCTCTCTCCAGACTGAGTTAGGTGGAGAATGACCAGCCTCCAACATTAAACTCAGGTCTCACTCTAGAGTCCCAATCTCCACACAGTGATTCTCTGAGCAAGGGGACTCAAGACTCTAGATATGATACAGTATAGCAACCGAGTAAATGGTGACAAGCCAACATGTGCAGTTGTGGAAAAGTGCTTGGTGGCCTTTTTAATAAGTAACACGGGAAGTCCACAACAAAACAAAACAGGGTTCTGGCAATAGTTTCTTAAAATTTATATTTTAATAAGTTCCCTAAGATCTCCTTTTCACCTGTTAAATGAATTTAAACAGATAAATCAATCAAAAGAGGAAGGCAATTGTTCTCATACTCATAAAGACCTTTTATGAGATATTTTATACCTACAGAATAAGTTGTGAAGTAAATACCTGTGAACCCACCGTAGAATCTATACCTTGCTACTCCCATATCAAGTCCCTTTGCCCTTTGACTTTCAGGTTCAGATTCTGTGAAATTAAAAATGTCACCGCTTAATACTGGTCTCATGTCTATGCCTCTCACCCCCCAAAATAAATATATTCAATTGTTAACATACAATCTAAGTACATATGTAGAAGTTTATTTTTTCTTTAAATGTTATGTGTGTTTAAGGAAATGACTTTGTAGACAAGATCTTAACTTTATGGTGACAAATTTTACTGCTTTGAAATGCCACTAGATGGAGACATTTCACTGTAGAAAATAACAATAACCATCACATTCATAGTCTCTGTCTCTCACACACACACATACACAAAATGTCCCCCCCCCCCCCAAAAAAAAAGTGCTTGTAGCAGAGGATTATTTTTTCATGCAAGGTAACTCTCACTGAGTTTGTTGTTGTTGTTGTTATGTGCCGTTGAGTCGTTTCTGACTCATAGCGACCCCATGCACAGCAGAACGAAACACTGCCCGATCCCGCGCCAGCCCCACAATCCCTGCTATACTTGAGCCCATCATCGCA